ACCCGAGTTTGATCCCCGTTACCCGCCCCCCAAAAAAATTTAAAGTGAGAATTTAGTTCCCATCACTGATACTTTTTGCTTTATTTAAAATATACTATTCATCAACTAAAATAGATTGAACAGTGAAAGATTAATATTTTGATAAAATAGAGTTATAAAGTAGCATCATTTCAAATGTGTATTGCTTCTCCATGAATTATGTATAATGGAAAAATTTGTTTCTTATACTGAGATATCCATTTCAATCAGAAATTTTGGCTTACAGTTCCAGGCTTCTAAATGTAATTTCGTGTTGCATAGCATATTCATATTTTTGAGTTGAATAATATTAGTGGAGTGAATTAAAGATTGCCTACTTTTGGGCTGGGGATTTAGCTCAGTGGTTCTGCTGCCTGCCTCGCAAGCGCAGGGACCCAAGTTCAATCCCCAGTACCAAAAAAATAAAAGATTGCCTACTTTTATTTTTCTACTTTGTCTGAAATTTAAAAACCTATAGTTCTTGAACACAAAGTTAAGATTTATTGTAAAAATAGTCTTGGCAGGAGGCCAGTTTTATCGTTGATTTTTTTTTTCCTTGGATAAAGAACTTTTTGATCCAGTATTGGATCAAACTTTAATCTTGGATAGAAGTTCATGTATGACTTCATCATTACACGTGTTTTTCTGAGTTTGTTGGGGTGCATAATGTAGAAGTGAGTGTATTTTTGAGAAATATAGAAGAACATTGCAGAAAAATTTAAAGCCCAAAGGAAACAATATATAAAGCTTACTGTTTTTCCAGAAGATACGCACACACACACACACACACATACACACAAATATACACAAATATGTGTTTATATATACTGGGAGGTGTGTATGTACACACTAAGTGAATGTGTAACACACATCAGTATATGCACACACGTGTACATGTGTGTATGCATTATATATGTGTACTTGCATACATTCTTTTCTCTATACATTCTCATACATAACTCTTTGTACAGTAATTACTTTCAAAGACCTGAAATATCTTGGAAGATGCCTAACCAGTCATTGTAATAAGTATGTTATTTATAGAAGAGATATTACTAAGTTATAAAACTTTTCCTATTTAAATTGGCCAATTTAGTCACAGAGTTAATGTTTACTTCTGCTGTTCTGTTTGTTTTTTACTCTTTTATTTTTTTTTGGTACCGGGGATTGAACTCGGGATCTTGCACTTGCGAGGCAGGCACCGGAAACAGTGAGCTAAATCCTCGGCCCTGTACTGTTCTGTTTGAAGCATTTCTCATTTGATACAGAAAACTATGAAGTGGTGCCATTTTGTCCCATTTACAAATGAGTGAACAGAAGCACCAAAAGGTTATGTGTCCAGAGTCACTTGCTGATAAATGCAGGCAAAGAATTAAAATCTAGGATATCTTCTTCTAGACTCCAGCTCTAATGCCTCTTTTTGATATACAAACAAGAATAGAGTTGAATTAAATCAGTTATTGAAGTAGCAACATAGAATTGTAGGTTCAAATTTCAAATGAGACTTGTGTTAAAATTTGTAATTTATAATTTTAGTGAGTTCTTATTAAAATAAAAAACCCCACCAAATACATGTATTTCTTCTATTTTCAAAAATTAAAAATCTCAGAATGCTATAACTATAGGCGATATAAAAATTTTGTTTGTATTATGTGCTTATTCTTAAATACTGTCAATTATAGAAAGAAAATAATTGTATAGGGATATTTTAGAGAGGCAGCTGAGTGTACTGAGATGTGGAATTGAAAAAATAAGCATTAGAATTCCCTGTCTTTGCCTTTCTAGCTATATAACTCTGAAGTCCCTCAAACATTTGGAGCAGTAATCTTCTCATCTGTTAATTGGGAAAAATAATATTTGCACTGTAGGATTTAAGAGTAAAAGTGAAATTTCAGCTTAGTGAAGTACATAATAAATGGTTAATTCAAATTTAACGTTAATAATTCATTAAGTAAATGAATTTAGATTGTAGTAGAGAAGGTTAGTATTTTTTCAGTGATTTCATACTGTTTCATAAAATCAGATTTTATGGACTTTTTTCCCCAGAAATAAGATACCTTGCAAAAACTGTTACAGTACTCTTTATTGTTTACAAAGGAAAATGTTACAGATTTGTATTTTAAGCAAATGGAACCTTTTGAATGAAAATGGCAAAGTATTTTTTCCTTACACAACTTTAAACAATTTTTAGAAGTAGCCAAGAAACTTAATGGTAGCTAGCATATTAATTAAAAGATTATTAAGGGCATAATCAGGTGAAAATGTGGTTACAGAAACCTGGAAAAACATTGGGGTGGAATATAATACCATTATCTTGTACTGTATAGAGCTGTCAGAATTTTGGTAAAGGCAGCTCTTGCTAGTACCATTTATGTCTTGACAACAAAGAAATTAATGCACATTAATTCACAGTATCAAGTAGTTTGAAATTTATGTCCATTTGCAAGTAATAGAAAAACCACTTGACATTGTAATGATCATGGTTGTCAAAATTAGTGAGACTGCTATTGCTTTATCTATCAGTTTTGGTAGTTAAACTTGAAGAAAAGTGGATTCTCATATATTCTTGTTAGTAAAGGCTTATCCCTACTTTTATTGCTGTATCAACAATTTCAGACTTACATCTTCTGAAGTTCACTCGTGGGAAAAGGGAGCTATATCATAGTAACCCAACTGGTATGTACTCTAATCTGTGATTAGTTCAGTTGACTCTATAACCCTGCTAAAGATAGGTCTTTGGAGCATGTTGTATTGGCCACATTGATGACCAGGGAAGTCTTATTATACATGCCAATGGTAAAGGTGTTTTTATCAGTGTGCTATGGTGAGCTCTATGATCCTCTTAAATCCATGTTGACTGGAGCATATTCTGATTGGGAAACTTTGGAGATTTGATTTTATTCCATATGATAATGCTACTTTTAATGAAATGTAATTGTTTTGAATTTGAAAGTGCTCAAAATGAAATTCCTTAAAGGTTAAATCAATTCCCAGAAATGGAATCTGCACCCAAGTTCTTTGGGGTATCAGGATCTGTCCTGCTTCATTACAATCTCAGCAGTCCCTGTGGATTACGGCATGTTACTCTTTCTATGCTATCCTTGCATCCAAATAAAGAAATTCTAATTCAAATACCACTTACTGTAATGACTAGTGAGAAATGATATCAATATCTGAACTGGTCTATTGGTGGAGTCTGCCTGCTATTTATTGACTTTGGGAATTCTGCTCACCTAAACCTCCACACTAATTTTGAGAACTCACATAAACTTTCTCTCAAACTTCCTTTTTTTCCCTTAAATTCTTTTATTGGTACATTTTAGGCATACAATATATTTATATTTATCATTGGGAACTCGTGCCTTTACATGATGTATCAAACATCTTTTTTTTTTGGTACTGGGGATCAAACTCGGGACCTTGTGCTTGCGAGGCAGGCTGCAACACCACTGAGCTAAATCCCCGGCCCTCAAATATCTTAATGTACTATTCTATATGCATTTTTAAGGCAATCAGATAAGACAAGAATTTTAAAACTTATTTATAAATTATAGAAAATAATCAGCTAAATTTCTAAAATTTCTCTTAATATAATTCATGGATAATTAAGAAAACTTAAAGCCGTACGAGATATTGTATGATGCATAGAGTCAGAACTACACAGCCCTAGGTATTGGGTTATAAATTTTAGAAATAGCTTGTTCACTGACCGGCAGTGAAAAAAAATCACTGAACTTTTCTGAGTCCAATTCTTTAGGTAAAAATCGGTATACAGTAATTCTTTGAATTCATTAATTTAATTGACAAATATTTATCTGGTGCTGCTTATGTGTTAGATACTTTGATAGGCATTGAAGATATGAACCTGAGCTCAGATGGAGGTGTTGAAAGTGGAGCATGGGTTGAGGGAGAGAGGATTGGACCAAGGCAGGGAAAACAGAAAGACTAAAAACAAAAAAATGATGGAGTTGAGAGCCAGCCCATGAAGATCTAAGTAGGAGAAGAGAAGGAACCGTGTTCCAGATACAGTCAGCTCACAGAGCAGGTCTGAAAGATGGCGAGAAGACAGTGCGGCTGGGTGAGCAGTGAGGCCCACATAGACACATGGTGTGAGCAGATTTTGCTTCTTTCTTGACATTTACAAACCACTGTTAAATTACAGCGATTTTATTTCATAAAGTAATCAATAGATTCCTAGAGATTTTCAAGGAGATTTAACACTAACATAGAGAAAATACCTGACTCTTCATTATTTACAAAAAGCAGAGGTTAAGAGTGCCTTATTTTAAAAAGTTATTTTATTTTATGAGAAAATAAAATTTCATAATCAAACAATAAGAGAATAACAATAGTTGTTACATTGCATATTGTTATTTTTAGTGTATGTGCTGCCGAAACAAGCATTATTGTTATCTTTAATAATGGCTTATTTTTAAGTGCATAGAGACCTCAATGAACATTTACTACATTCAGGCAGTGACCAGACACTAGGAGTATAAATATTAAACTCCTCTCCCTTCAGAAGTTTACAGATAAACTGCAACCACAGTTTATTGGTAACTTCAAATTTATTTCCATGAACAGATGCAGCAAACCATAAAAATACATAATAAACGTATTTCTCCTTTTTTTTAAACTCTTACAGACTGCTACTTTAAAAATCCAAACTGCAACCAGAAATGAAGGGAACTGAAGAAATCAAGTGGCAAAATCAGCTTCTACTTAGAAAATTGATTTTGTCATTGTTCATATAAACGTTTTACATTTACTCTGCATTTAATAGAATTCAGTATGTGTGTATGTGTATACACATATGTATTGAAAACTATATCTTAATGTCACTATCTAAATAAAATTTATTACTAACTTCAAATACTAAATATATTATAAATTACTTCATATTGAAAACTAATAGGTGAGTAACCATTCTAGAGTTTTTCTTTTGAGGCTAGAAAAATTCATATCACTTCTGTTTTTCTTATCAGGTACAACTCTAAGTCTTCTCACTGAGCCTTTTACTACAGGTCAGTAAATTACTTCTTGTTTTTAATTGAAATAAAAATATCTCACAGTAAATTACTAGTAATTTAGGGCTTTTATGAAATAATTTATATGATAATTTGGATTTTGAAAAATATCTCAAGAAAGTAGTTTACAAGGCTTTTTCTCTGGTATTAAATAGTTTTTAAAAACTGAATTGAACTTCTTTTCAGTCAGTTTCTGTTAACTAGGTATAGTACGTTCCTAGTTCTATAGTCTTCCTTACTATTAGCTATTTTAAAAATATACGGCAATATATAACTCAGATACTTAAAACCTACACAGGTTGAGAGAAAAATTCTATATAAATCTTCAACTATTTAACTTCTTTAGGTATTTAAGTGTAAAAGTAGTAATACATGTATTTTATTACAATGTTTTATCATGGTTGTCATGAGGTTTGCATGCTAGAAATGAGAAAATAATGTTCTGCTTATTTTAAAGCAAAGTGATTGAGGCAAAAGCATGAAGAATTAGGGCAACCCAGTTTATCTTGCAGGAACATATTCTTGTAAAGAGAAAAAAGGCATTGACTAAACCAAAATCTTGGAAAAAGTATTACAGTTCAGCATTTGAACAAAACGTAGGGTATTCCAGGCAGAAAGTCATTTAAATTGATTTGTTCTATTTTCTAAAGTATAAACTGGCTGGACACTTAGCCGCGCCTTGATAATCATGTCCAAGTGGACTCTCGGTGAGAAGATGTTTTGCCAGTCTCCTCAGGATTTAGTGGCCAATCAGCTCCCAGCCCCTCCACAGCCAGCATGGCAGGTGCTTCAGCACAGAGCCCTGGAGTCATGACTCCTGAGAACAGATCAGGAAAACAGATTGGGATAAAGCATACTGGCCCAACTAAGTTGCTTTCAGATGGTGCCCAGGAAAATATTTTCCTAGCACAGTACTCAGGAAATATTTTTCTAACAAAGTGCCAGCCTTAGGTGGTTATTCATTCTATGTAATTATGATGTAATAATTTAGTCTATTCACAAGTTACTTGCTTAATATATATCTTAAATACTCTCACAGACTTGGTAATGAATAGTGCTTTAACAGGTTTTTAGTCTGGATTATTTATACCTGGCCTTTCTCAGGGACAGCTAGACTGTCACCAGGTATAACCACAGCAGGGGACAATGGAGGCAGAAGTGTCACAACTTTCTCAGCAGGTAAGAGCAAGAAATGAGTTCAATGCACTGTTCACAGGACATTTCCACAAGTCATCACCCATTGCTACTCATCAAAAATCACTTCTCAGACTTTTGGATGTGATCAAGTATAGTATCTGCTCATCAACAACTTTGACCTGAGTGGAATCAGAGATAATGAGAGTCGAGCATTGGAAATCAGTCAACTGGAAGATTGGGGGGAAATTGAATAGTCAAGATATAGGTACTAATGGAATATTAATGATTCTATCAGTCAGCTTTTGGTTTCAATATGAAGTACCTGAGAAAGGATAACAGATGGAGTAGACAAGATTGTTTAGTTAGAAGATACAGAGGTTCAAGGGCTTGGCACCTAATTAGATTCAATTGAGAAGAGAGGCCTCTCATTTCTGTCACTGTGAAGGATGACAAAGGTGGGAGCATCAAAGGAGTCAGAAATCACAAGTGGATGAAAAGAGACAAAGAGTGTTGGTTGGAACAAGGCTCAGGTTATTGTAAGTATGTTTCAGGAAAAAGAGCTTCATTTCTTAGCAAGAACAGCATCCTCTATTGAAATAAATACCTCCCACACATGCCCAACTCAAAGAGTCCATATAATAGGCCAAAAATGCATGAACAATTTTTGAAAATCACTTCTGTCCCTGGTGAGTATTCCTGGTGAAGCAGGACTGGCCCCCACGATGAGCCCAGGCACCAACCTGCTCTTGCCTCCAGGGACCACGAGAGAATCTCTGTCCTCCGGATCCGCAGTGACAACCGGTGCCACAAATTCTGGTAGCAGCCCAGCAGGTGAGCACGAAGGAGGGAAACATCAATGGGGGGTACAGAGCCCCAGTGGAGGGTGTCAGCCAGGCAGGGGGCCCCTGGCTCAGCCTCCTGCTGGGAAATGAATGAAAAAGGAGAGGGCGCCAGTGTGACTAAGGAGATGCCAGGAACCCGGGCAGCCTGACCCCTGGCTGGCACCCTAGCGGGGTGCTCCCAAAGTCTGGATTGGATGGCAGTTCTGGCATCGGCGGCCACCCTTGGGAT